TTTAATTCCTGTTAGGCTTTTTTGATATGCCAGTAAAATGAATATGGTTTTCGCCCTTCGATAATCGCTGAACTCATTCATTCCCCACAAAGCTTTCAAAAATCCTGGCTACATGAAAACATGCCCGAAATCCTGATCGGAATAATGTTTCCAGGTGAATATCCGGAGGCGACGTTACTTTTTTCCGATATTGTCACATTCACAAATATTAGTGCTGCTTGCACACCTTATGATGTTGTGAATATGCTGAACGATTTGTTCACTCGATATGACCGGATTGCTAAAATTGTAACTTTCATCTTCATATAACTTTAAACACTAATATAGCCAACACTCTGGCGCCATTTGCTCAATTAATTTTCAAACTTAAGAAAAATTTTTAACGAGTCAAAAGTCAAAACCTCCTCCGTATTCACTTCCTACAAAAAGTGGAGCCACTCAGAAGTAGCCCCAGTAATAGCAAATACCAGTAGCAATCACTCATTGGCAGGGTTGTCGATGGTTCCCTCTTTCGAAACAAAGTTAATAATAATGATATATGTTCTCGTCCACCGACGGAATCAAACTCTGGATCAACCACGCAACAAAGTGCTACTTCCCAGTGCGTCATTTTTAATAAATTCTTTAATTTCCAGCACGATGTCTACAAGGTGGAGACAATCGGTGATGCGTATATGGTTGCTGGTGGTGTACCCACTAGTTGTGCTGATCATGCGGAACGTGTTATGAATATGGCAATCGGTATGCAAATGGAGACGAAGTCAGTGACGCGCCCACGTACGAACACGCCACTCCGTATTCGTCTAGGCGTTCACATGGGTCCAGTTGTTGCCGGCGTCGTTGGAATAAAAATGCCTCGGTTAGTGCTGTTGTAAAATTCGTAATTTGTCTCGAAAAATTCACTATAATTTATTTTATTTTTATTTTGAAAAATTTTGAAAAATAATTTATTTTGAAAAATGCCTACTGGATACACAGCGATCAAAAGAAAGGGGATATTGTGTTTGATCAGTTGTTTCATCATCGCGTTTCTTCTTGCTACTGGTGCGCCTTGCAACTTCTCCATTCTTCTCTGTTTTCAACCTCTCTCTTTGACAGAATATGGATCTTAAATTTTTCTTTTAGCTGAGTAGCATTTAACATTTTAAAATTACATATGTTGGAGGTTTCTAAAAGTGTTAACAGACGGGAAAGTATGTAGAAAAAGACTGCAAAATGATTAATATTTACTTTTGTACAAAAATTTCACAAAACTTTCCAACCTTTTCTTTTTTTTAAAAAAACCCCACTAAAAAGACTCTGGTCCTTTTAGTAATCTGGTTCGCTTCCAAGCACAAAACTGCATCCCATTTAAAAGGCTTTAATACTTACAGGTATTGTATGTTTGGTGATACTGTTTCAGTGGCAAACAAAATGGAATCACACGGGATACCGTCTAGAACACATGTCAGTGAAAGCGCCAGAAAGTTCGTTTTTTACATCACATTTTCTGCAAAATAAGTGCCGAAATTCCCAATGGCAACCTATTTGCTGACATAGCGATGTGATAAGTAATACTGCTGTCATGCAGAAGCCAAAGACTTCTGCATGACAGCAGTATTACTTCATTCATTCGTTTCGATGGTAAATTTGTACTGACGCATGCCAGAGAGTTAAGCTTGCCATTAAGTTCGAAAAAGAGAGCAATCGAGAGCCTTGCTAATGGGTAGTTGCTGTTGACACATCACCATGTAAGCTAGTTCCGAATGTCTCCGTTTCTTATATAGCACGAATACGGAGGAAGTTTTTCGTTTGATCAGGCGCCAAATGCCTGCTTGTGGAGCTAAAAATTTGATTATTGAATTTTCAGAATGCTATGAGCCCGAAATCATTTTAAGACTCTAAAGCTAAGTGAGGAATGCGTTTAAAATCTTGGCATTTAATTCAGTAACAGAAAATGCATATTATTCTTCCATCGGTTTCAGCTTCTGATCTATGATCTTAGATCCAATTTCTGGCTACCATGTATCACCAAAAATGCTGCAGCAAATGATTATTGATGGTAACTCAGTCGAATTTGCTTTTTCTTGTGCAAATTCAAGTTTTTATTGAAGAAATTGTATTTTAGAGCAGCTTTGCAAACAAATAGTTATCTGGAGTTCAGCGATCGTGGTGTAATCCAAGTGAAAGGTGTTGGCCAGATGCATACTTATTTTCTCGAACAAAATGGCCGAAAAACAGTCTGGGATATTTGCGGCCGGCCTAGGAGTTGGTTTTTATCCCTCAATATACATTCATGCATTTCACTTGTCCCTCAATACTCTTCCAGATGTTTTACTCATACCTCAGTCACTGCAAAAAAATGAGTGTTATTTTGAATTTGTTTCAAAGTAAATAAAAGAAAGTTTTGGCAAAATGACGAAAAATCACTGGGTTTTTCACAGAATTTCTTACCATTAATCCATTTATCGAACAAGTGGCGCGCATACGTCGAACTATTGAGAGGGGTACCAACTGGATATACGTAGCCCAAGACGGCATCTAGCAGCGATCCGGTGACATCACTAACATGGTATACCCACAGCCGTTTTAAGAGCGTCGTGGTATTACTGTTCATGGTAGTCATAGAATCCACTGAATATCATTGGGGGATAAAGAAAAATCCATTTCAAACTTTTTAATTTGCTCGGGAAAAGAAACATCGGCGAGTTTTAATTGTTGCAGAACCAGAACAGTCAGTTGATGGATATTTCGAGCTGCATGAAAATGTTGAAGAAAGAGGACCAACAAAGGGAATTCTAAGCAAAGTGGGTCATTTTTTTTAATCAGTGTCTTTGAAAATTTTCGGGCTCACTATGGATACGGTACGGGATGCAAATGCGTGGCATACGATATACAGTACCTCACGCGCTCTCCCTTTTTTCCCTTTCGCTTCCTCGTCCTTCACTTTTTTTTTTTTGATAATATGAGTAATTAGGTTAACTAACGTCCGTTTGACTGGGCGGCAAAACAGCGAAGTCCAACTAAAAGCATATTCAAAAAGCATAAGCATATTCAATTTACCGGCAAAACAGCGAAATCTAACTAAAAGCATATTCAAACCAGGAAAAAGAAATATTTTT